GTAAACATAATATAATGACAGCAGCAACAGCAGCCCCACTGGGAATCCGGCAGAAGTTCGTTCTGTGCCCTCAAGGGGCAAAAATTTCTTCTTTTTGTGGTGCCCCAATAAAGAGACCCAACACTCATCCAAGGAGCTCAGATTGTGACAACAGTGCTTCAACATCAGCTCAACCCCACTTTCTTTACAGAGGTGTTTTATCTGGTTGGCTTTGTCTTTTCTATTGTATTTTATGCCTTCTTTGGCTTAATATGGCTTTCAGCTTGTTGCTTTGATTCATACCCAGACACCCAAAGCTTAATATTCAGGGCCACCCATAGGAAACAAAGTCTTAGTCCATCTAGCTCAGTTGTTGACATGGACTGGCAGCAGCTCTGCAGTGGCTCGGGCAGGGTTCCTCTGTAGGCCCACCCAGAGATGCTGCGAATCGAACCCGGGGCTTTAGTGCTGAGGCACAGTTCTTTCCCATAAAGCACAAGCCCCTGGATCCTTCCACGTGGCCACAGCAGGGACCCTTAAATTCAGTTCCTTAGCAAATAGGCTGAAACAGCATACACAGCAGCACTGTCCTCAGCCTTTTATAAACTCATTTTTAGGCACTGTCTCGGAATGAGAGTATTCTCACTGGCCAGCTTGCTTGTCAAAACAAACCTAAAGCTGGGCTTAGTAGGCAACTCACTCAGGAAGCTCCCCTTTCTGCTCCACCTGTCAAGACATCCTTGAGGTAGGAAAGATCCAGGTCTCCTTCTATCTTACAGAGAGAGTGGGACACCTTATGGATGTTAAAACAAGAACAGCCAATTCCTCAGGCAAGCCAAATAGCATTCTGTGGTTGTCCGTGTTCCTGTGGGAATTCGCTACCATGTTCAAGCAAAAGCCTGTCGCAGAGCCCCTGGTGTTCGGTGACCATCTGCACCAGCCCATTATCGGCAGAGTGAGATTGATTTTCCTCCTCTTTGTGTGTTCACTTATCCTAATACCCAGGAGTCTGCAATGGATTCTGCAATGGGCAGGGTGGGGGGCAGTGTACGTAAGCCAGAGAGCCTTGTAATTCACAGAAACGGGGGCCTTGGAACTAAGCCTCATGAACTGCAGCATAAAACGCAGTAGTTTCTCTCCCAGTGTATTGCATGGTGTCATGGAACTTCTCTACATAATTTGTATCCATTAAAGTCTGGGAGGGGGACACTGATGGTTCCTCCTCTCAAAATAAATGGCTGATGGGCTGCTGCCAGTCAGGCTGGATGTCCTGAGTCAATGCACCCACGTTTGCCCGGGTGCTTGGGGAGTTTGCAAAGATCCCCTTTCATCCCAGCCCTAGGAAGAGGCTGCGGATTGTCTTTCCCAAAGCCCAGAAAACCGGAGCACATCAAAGGCCATATGAAAATCTTAAAACAGAAATGGCACTAGTGCAACCATGGAGTGGACAAGAGTTCAGTGAGAATATACCTTTTAAAGCAATGCAGTGACATATTTGAAAATGAAAAGAATATTTGGAGGAAAGGAAATTGGATAAGCAAGGGAAGGCAAGAATCTCTCTCTCTCTCTCTCTCTCTCTCTCTCTCTCTCTCTCTCTCTCTCTCTCTCTCTCACACACACACACACACACACACACACACTCTCTCTCTCTCTCTCTCTCTCTCTCTCACACACACACACACACACACACACACACTTGGGGGGTGGTTCCAAATAAAATGAAAAAGTCAGTGTAAATTGGTTTGTTACCTCTTACCTACTTGCTCAGAATCTTGGGTTCCAGAGCACATACTTAGTTCATTGCAAAGGGGAATGGTCTGAAAGATAGTCTCTTGGCTTCTGGTAAGACAGCATTAGTAATCTATGAGAGTTTATTTTCAGTTCACAAATCTCTCAGAAATGCCCTCTTCACAAACCTGAACCTGAATGTAAACTGGAGCCCATTTTCTCTAAAAATGCCTGCAAATTCCCAAACTTGCCTTCATGTTTGCAAAAGGTGCACTTGAAAGAATGAGCAACTTCCTCAAATGGCACAACTTTCTTGAAATACCCAGATTTCTCAGATTGTGCACATTTTAAATCACCCCTGCTTTAACCAATGGGCCAAATTTGTGCAAGGTTGGAAATCTGGGAATTTTTTGCACAGTTTTCACCTCTGATGCGTATCAGTTCAATGGTAAAAATATCCCATTGGATACAGTCCAAAGCCAATAATAACGATGTATTTGGCTTGAGAGACCATAAGCATTGTTTGGCATAAGCTTTACACCTAGTTCTTTGGAAAGGTCTTTGGCTTTCCCCAGCAAACGCTGTTTATCCTGACTTAAAAATCACAAAATAAGCACATGGCCTCGGCTAGTGTAAGAATGTATTGTTTTGAGCTAGGGTAGCTGATTCAAGGAAAAAATATGTGAGGCAAGAACACTAGCAATAGTATCTATAGAAATAGCAGGCACACCGGGAGCCTCCATGGGGACCCAAGCATGTGCGATGAGTAGGGTGGCCTCGTGTCCTCTTTGACATAGAAGAGCCTCCTATTTGTACTGCTTCCAGAAGACTTTCATCTCTGTTGAAGGTCTCTTTTATCTCAGGAGTCCAAACCGAAGAACCATTGGAAGGAAAAGCTGGGCCTTGTATAAGTTGCGATGCATTTCCATTTAGACATAATGATGGTTTCGAGCGCAATTCTCTGGATTTATGTCCCTCTTGTGCACACCTTGCAAGCCTTGCTGGAGCCCATGAGAAGCAGGATTTAAAAAGAGTCAGAAACCTCTGAACCAGGAATTGTTGGCCCTGTCTCTTCTCTAGCACAGTGGGCTTCTGTGTTTAAACTAGCGTCTTCAGTCTGAGAGACAGAGGCTCTGTGTAGGAGTTCTGCCTGTTAATGTCCCACAAAAGGTGGGACAGATTAGGAATGGGGTAGCACAGGCAAATCCCACTCTCAGATATCAAACTTCCATGCTAAGGGGGAGATCCCGGTGGAATTTCCTCATGCAATTACTTGAATGTAGGAATGTAGGCTGTTTTTCTCAGGGTTCTTCATCCCACAAATGTGACTGGAATCACATACCCCTCCCCGCTGACCTTAAGGCCACCCTGCCCCATGTGGGAAGCTCAAGTGCTGAGAAATGGGTCACTGAGATCGGGACTTCCATGTGATTCCACGTGTTTGCTACTAATTTTTTGCTCTCATGTGACCAGGCTAAAAGTCTGCACTAGGCAATGAAGATTTCGGCTTGTCTGCACAGCATGCTGTCTTAAGAACCGGCGATTCCAAAGTTTCTTGTGCCCATGCAGAAGGGTGAGACAGCTGGTGGGTGGGACCAGGTATGCTAATCATCAGAAGGAGAGGATACATGAGGCTTTAAAGTCTGTCCGTCTGTCTGTCTAGAACATATTTGTAGCTGCCTTGGTCCATAAGAATCAGACTAAAGATACTGACTGGATAGTATCTGTATTAAAACTAACCTAAAGGTTACAAAACAGTGGATGTGACATTAAGCAATGCCAGCAAATGTGGAGAGGGCAGTGCTGGGTGAATGATGGAAACCCTGCTGGATGGGCCATGGGTGTCAACTCAGATAGGAAGGAAACGTAATTACAGAAGGACAAAAGGTTTCTTTTGTGACTCATGCGCTTATATGTAGAAGGCATGAGCGCAACATGCGTGTGGGGTGAGGCCCATGTCACATGCTTATTCTGTTCCATGGAGCCCAGGGCTCTAGTTTCTGTGGCTCCTGGGCTCTGTGGAGGTACAGCGCTGTGCTAAGTGGGATGCACGCATTTGGGCTGGTGGACAAACAAGCCATGGGGATTTCTAGCAGCATTGTAACGCCCGGCTCACTGCTGTGTCACTCGGCACACCCCAGGTGGATCTGCTTGTGCTATTTTTGCCATTAAACCCACATTTCTTCAGACCGCTTACATCGCCTCCACTTGATACCCTGCATTTCCCCATGGGGTGCGTGTCCGTGGGTGCTAGACTTGCAGTCCACCTCGGCGGGGTAAGGGGGAGAAGTTTCCATGGTGGGGTGGTACTGCAACGAGGAAAAGTGCTACTGGGCTTTAAGCGGACGAACGAGGAAACTGGTCTTTGCTGATGTGCGCGTGTGGAGGAATGAATCCGTGATGAACACAAGCCCCCCACATTCCTTTGAGAGCTGGGTCAGGAAGTCTGCTCATTGTGGGCGGCCTCAACACAACGGTGGCAGCTCTGAGAAGATCAGCCCCACCAGCCCTCAGCAGTCCTTCCAGCCCTCAGTTGTCGCTCCTCCTGCCCTGCTTAAAGGGCTTCAGTCCTTGCCCAGTGGATGGGGGACTAAATGCAATGCTGCCTTCCTGCTCCCCTCCTTGTCCTTGAAAAGATAAGGTATCAAGCCTTTCCAGTTATCTCCTTTGTCTTTTCTCTTTGCTCACCTTAAGGAACAGCTATCTGAAAACAATAGATCTGAAGGGGGAGGAAGAGGAGGAGGAGAGGAAGAACAAGGGTGGAAGGAAGGAGAAGAGTCTCTCCCCCCCACCCCAATTCTGGCTAAGCCTTGCTGTGAAGTGGATATTTCTCTCCACCCGGCTCCAAGGCAGAGGGAGAGGAGAGATGCAGGGCTATTCTATTCATCGCATGAGAGACCGGCTGTCTTTGGACCTTTTCCCTTGTCTCCCAGCAGCAGCCATTCCATCTGCTACCTGAACTATTTCCTCACTGTGGTCCTGCTAAGACCTGTAACTTTCTTATTTTCCTCTTCCGGACTCCTCTCTTGTTCCTCACGTGCCAGGTCTTTTCCTTCCTAAGCCTGAAGACAGGGACTGCCTCACTGCTAATATATGTAAGCCACTCAGGGAGCTTTTCCGCCTGCCCTTCTTTGCCAAAGGGCAGATAAGAATGCTGCTAAAAACAGTGCTTACAACGCACGGTCTAAACTGGTAACAAAGTGTTGTCCTTCCCGTGGTTGCCTCATGATGACATATTGCTTACAAGCCAGTGCGTGTGTGTGGGGAGGGGGGTACACAAAGGAAGAATTAATGCCTTTTCTTCTCCAGAGTCGAAGGATTTTTATAAAATCCTTGCAGCAATTGAATGACAGTGACATCACTAATAGCAGCAATACATTAAAGCTGGCACATCCCTACCAGAGACCAAGAAGATTTCTCCCTGCTGGGTGACCTCGCTCCACTAACAATCGGAGAGAATTAGTCTCAAGGGAATGCTTTGCTTATGGATTTATAAAGGTTGACAATAATCCTAAATGGATGTTAGAGGAATTGACAAATCTCAGCATTTTTCCCATCCGGACATGCGTGCCTGGGGGAACGGTAGAGGCCGCAGCATTCATTAAGAAGAGACAAGCCATTGACAGTCGACAGAGGAACAGGTAGGGACACCTAGAAAAAGAAGAGCCGTTTGACACAAACTCTGCGGCAAAAGCCCCAAAGCAGTGACCCAGCAAGGCAATGAAAAGCAGGGGGCTTGGGGCAGTAGCACAGGGACTGGCCAAGGCGGAAGGGGTACCTTCCTCGACCAGGTACCCTGCAAAAGTGTTAGGTACAACTCTCATCACTCCTGACCACTGGCCATGTTGGAGGTCACCAGGTTGGAACAGGCTGTCTTGACAGCCATTCCTTTTTTGTAGTCTCTCACTCAGCCATCAGGACCTGAATGGACCTGCCAAATTACCCCTGGTCCCTGTGGTGCCACTGTTGAATGCCAGGTTGTTCCACAATAAAACATCTGTGATGAAGGATGAGGAGGACAACCTGGCCTTTATCACTGCAACCTTGAGGCATCAAAGCCTCTCAGTTCTACTGCCCAATAGACAATGGTTCAGGTTCTTGACATGGTCCTATCAGTTCACTGCTTGTCTGGGTGGTGTTGATGGTCCTTGTTCATTCTGGGATAGCATCTGCCTTTCCAATTATGTTGGCACATATTGAGTGCCATATCTGGTGCTCGGCTCTTGGGACAGATAAATGGATCCGTTGGCATGCCAACAACCCAAGAACCCAACAATCTCCTTACCTGAGTTGATAGGATGTGTATTGTAGAGGAAAGATCGTGGACTTGGATGTATCTTGTGTGCTGGCAGAAGATGTCTTCATACTTCATACTTCAAGTAATAAAAGTTAAAAATGTGACTTCATTTTTAAATTCCCCTATTCAAATACATTTTGGCCACTCCAGTACATGATTTGCAACATTAAAAATGCATTACCCCAGTAGCAAAATATAATTTTCACTTATTGTATACTTCAACTCATTATGGAATCCTCGTGTTTTATCCAATGTTAGTAACACTTAAGTTCCATTCATTTCAATAGATCTAATCTATGTTGGATGAACATTGGATACCAATGTAATTTTTAATAACATAGCAAATTATTTCACAACATTGGAGTCATTTCCTTCTCATGCAGCACCCATTTGAAATGGGTCTTAAATAGCTCATCAGCTTTTTCCATGTGAAAGTGGATCCATAATTTGAAAAATGCATTATACTCTATTTAAAAAAAAAAGGAAAGTTTATGCTGGGTCCTTCTTTTACCTGAATGACATTTTCTTCAGCTCCAACTAAACTGTTTTGCTTTTTGCTTTGCTCTTCGTTTGCCATGTCTCCAGTGACTAGGTCTTCCAAACAGTCAAGGCCTATGGCTGAAAGCTAGCAAATGGGAGAACAGCTGCATGGCTCCCGTGAAGACCTTTTCTGATCTCATGTTGCTAAGTGATGCACAGTATCTTTATTACAAGAATGAGGAGTGATTAAAAGAGCTGTTCCCTCTTTGGATGGAAAACCACTGAATATTAGGGTGGAGAGACAATATTTTAGGACAGGTGACTCAACAGATGGTTCCATGGTTGTACCAGTAGGGTTTCATGTTTGAATGTCCCCCCGTGAAAAACAGTAACAAACTCCCTGTAGTCTCTCCATATGGAAAGTTAGCATGTAAGGAAGAAGGCTAAGGTAGAACTTTTCTCCTCAGAATGCTAATTTTCCAGGGAGGAGGAGGAGGAGGAGGAAGAAAGACTCCTCCTTCTCCATCTCCTATGATTTTGTGGGAGGCATCCAAACACATTGATTCACATGAATACTCTGAATGGTATCCTCTCAGAAGTCTCCACAAGGAGCTTTCTTTGGCCTATATTGTGTGCAAAGACTCCTGATCTGAAACTACTTACTGGAGTCTCATAAAGTGGAGGAGGAAATACAGAGAAGCCTCACACTTCACATATCATCGATCAAGGTAGCCTGGATCGGCCACTGTGGCTGCAGTAAACAGTCTGTGCCTGCTAAACTCATCCTCCGAAGGGAATAGGAGGTAAAGGAGACATGGCTGCCTGGCGTTCAGGCCTAGCCAAATAGGCAACCCTCATATCCTTAGGTCAGTCTTCTTTTCCTCCCAGTTCCTTGTCCATGGGAAAACCTCGTAAGCAAGAAGTTATCCTGACAATGGATGGTATTCAGAGAGTGTGGCCATAAGAGAAACCTCAGAAATTTGACCCTTTTGTCTCAACACCAACTTTCAAATCTGCCAAATCTAAGATACCTACAGGACACAAAAGCTGCTGCCAGTAAATCAAACTGCTCAATACATATCCCATTGACAGGTGTGTAAAACTGTCAGAAATAATATACATGGGTAAAAACAACACAAAAACTGACTCCATGAGAAGACATGGATAGACTGGGCTGCAGTGTACATTTAAAGTTTCTCTCTATTTCTTTGTGCAAAAAAATAGAGTATCTGGGGGGAAATAAGATAACATGGTTTGGGGATGTTATTCATTGGTCTGATCCATTCATAACAGTAAACCACAACTTATCTGGCCCATGGGTAATTCATGGTTTGTTACTCTTCCCAGGATTTGTCTATGATTAGACAAAGCATGTTTGTTTTCTTAATCCCTGGGTTGTTTTATCCCCCTCCCTCTTTGCTTTCCCCTACCCTGTACCCAAAATGCCTTTGAAATGCTGTAATACTGGTATGTGGACCAGCATTTTTTTTCCAACTCTTGCCTGTCACTGCTGTAGTCTGGCAAAACAACCCATGGTTCTGGGTTCACATGAAATGACAACCCATGGTTTAAAAACTCCTAGCTGAAAACCCAACAACAAGCTATGAGTTAATTTTGAGGGTCTGTTCATGATTAATAAACTATGGTTAGTTAGTGACTGGATTTATACGCTATGACAATCTAGAATTCAACATGCTTAAAATAACCATGGCTTAGGGTTATTTGTGAACTGGGTCAATATATATGGAATACACCTGATAGCTAAAGGTTTAAGTACATTGAACAGAAAAACTGCCTACCCTGTGCACAGAGAAATATTAACATGAAGAACAGAATATTTATTTTAAAATCATGCATCAAAGCTAAAGCAAAATACGGCCTGCCAATAGCAGTCTGCCCGAAGTGGCATCAAATTTTTCACAATTTCAGTAACCATGGAACACCGCTTGCATGATCACTCGCTCTCTTGCTCTCTCTCCAGCAAGGCTGTAGGCCCTTTTAAGGAAGGTATGCAGAGATTTCCTGCTGATTATAAAAGGTGAGTGATGGAGATGAGAGTACATTAGAAATGATTACAGGAATCTGATATCATTATCTTTTGTACTTCATTGCAACAGCAAAGACGACTACCCCAGGCAAAGCAGACATCTAACTTCTTACATCAGATAATTAGCAAGGGCTGTCAGTACAAATTTCAAGACTCTTGTCTCTGAAATAGTCTACAATGTCTATGTGATTCCGACTCATCCTGTTTCTCTCCCTCCTCTTGTCTCTGTGATATTCAAATTTGCATCTTTTTAAAATAGCAGGAAAAGCATGACCCTCCATTCAAAAAACTCAGAATATAGTGGACTAAATGAGTTCATTTTACAATTTCCCCTCCCCACTCAGAAGATCAACTGAAAACAAGGCTTATTGAGAGACATCCAATTAGTGATGGAAGACTTCTGTCAGTGGACCAGGGATGGTCAATGCTTCCTTCCTTTCAACAGCTACCTGCACCCCACAAAACATGTTCCAGAGAGTTTGAGGGTCCTCCAGAGAAGATCTGGGGGGCAGTATGGAGGAGGGGGCAAAGAGATGCTTCCATTCTGTGAGTGGGCATGTTCTTGAGCAATGCTGAATGTGGCCCATCATCAGTCTGATTTTAGGCTTACCTTATCAGTTTCTTGCAACCAATACTTGTTGAAACAGAAACTCCAGATGAAGCAAGAGCACTCCTGGTTGGTAGACTGGCTGATCTAGTGGTGAGGATTTGTCCTCTTTGGGATGAGGCTCCTTTAAGCAGCATGGGGCTGCTCTTGGATCTGGCATTGTGTGTGTGTGTGTGTGTGTTTGCAGGTAGCCATGCTGGCCACAACTCCACCTGCCAGGTCGAGCTCATTTCTGGGGAAGTCCATTGCTGGAATCGGGCTCTGGTTAGGCTGGACATCAGGAAAAGCTTCCTCACTGTCAGAGCAGTACAACAGTGGAACCAGCTGCCTGGAGAGGTGGTGGGCTCTCCCATCCTAAAGCCATTCCAAAAGAAACTGGACAGCCATCTGAGTGGGCTGGTATAAACTGGTGTCCTGCAACAGCAGGGGGGTTGGATCCAATGGCCTTCCCAGCCCCTTCCAGCTCTACTGTTCTATGATCCTTCAATTCTTTGATTCTATGATTATGGGTACTGGAAGACACCTGGAAGTCCCCTGCTTGAGGAAGGCAGTCATAATGACTGCATGGGCATCCATATCCCTTTTGCACCAGAAAGTATCTTCCTTTGGACCAGTCTAGATGATACAGGACTGGTTAATAAGCCACAATGGGCAGTCACATACAAATCCCACAGCCTGTTGTAGGATTATAGGGGTTTATTAAACATCCTTGCTGGGTTTGGACCATCCGATCGATTGTGATGGACAGCCTGATCCAGCAGCATGGTGCCCTTGGTCACAGGCTGAGGCAGTTGTGCCACAGCCTCCATCTGGTTCTACTGTTCCGCTTACTTATCTTGCATTAAGGTGCTGCCAAGAAGCCTGTGCTATTTAAATATATCTTCTTGTGCTTCTTCTTCTTCTATTAGAATAAGCACAGGGGTCTTTGATCTGATCTTGAATGGGATGCTAGTGCAGAGGCTAGGGAGACTTTAACATTCCTCACCATCACTACCAGTACAGCTCTGATCCAGATTGCCCCTCGAGGGCCTGCAATTCATATCACTCTGAGTGGATCCATCAATGTAAATAAAACACAGTTTGGCCATGTGTATTGCAGGCATGGGGATCCCAATCTGGACTGGAAACACAGTGGTGGAAGGGGAGGGTTAAAGTCCTCAACCTGCCATGCTAGGATTCCAAGATGGAGCAGGACTGTACTTCCTCTAGAGCATGGGAAAAAAACCTGGATGTGTGCTTTGGCCATTAACTACAGTGGAGCCAGCCCCTACCTGCCCTGCTGCAGCTGGAGCAGCGGGATAGATCAGCTGAGGAAGCTGACTTAGGTGGATTAGGCAGCAGCCTGCTGTGTGGGTTCAGAGGGGTGACAGAATCGGAAGGCTGGAACCGATCCAGGGTGAGTCTTGCTCGGTCAGCTCACATCTGATGAGAGCATGAGTCCCGCTGCTCTCTGGCCTGCCACTGCTGAGCTGATGCTCAGAGGCCATTTGGACCCAACCATGTCCAACAGCAAAGCAAACGCCTGCTTCCAGATGGGGCTGTATTTCGTGCTCCTGTTGAATGTTCTGCCTCAAGCGCCACAAAAGCTCCGGTCTTTGCTGCAGGCTCCGGCACTAGCAGCCCTCAGAGGACGGTGGCTTCTAGGGCTAATTTCCACATGGCGAGATTTGTAGGTGGCTTGGCGACCTTGGCTCTCAGCAGTCTTTTGTTCAAATACTATTTTAAGCTGGCTTGAGTCAGGTGTGTGCAAGTGTTCGTGTGCATACGCACACAGAGAATGTGTGTCAGAGAGGGAATAAAAGAGAAATCACAAAGATTGCAGCCTACTGTTCTCAGCAGAGAAAGAAAAGACAGATATTTCAACACAACGCTAATTACAGTTTTGTGAAGCTCTGTTGAGGCCCGCTGTGAAGTTTCATCAGGACACATCTTTTTATTGTTGTTGTTGTTCTTTTGCGTACTGTTGCCATGACAATGGCTCTTTGACGGTCTAGATTTCAGAGTAAAGTTTAATACCTGCAGATTGGATCCCTTGGCAGAGGTGAGGAAGCTATCTGCACATGCAGGACTGAACCTTCAAATAATATTAAAAACTCACCAGAAATACCTAGCAGTTTTGAAAGACTTGCAAGTAACAAGGAGCAAATATATTGGCACCCAAATCAGTTTCCCCTTTTACACTTTGGGGCATTCTGTCAGGATGTTTTTCCTATGGGCTGTTAATGTCTTCAAACCAAGCATAACATGGAAAAGCAAGAACAGTGTTTTAAAACAAAATTCTGGGAAACTAACAATATGCACAACCTGAAAAAGAAAAGGACACAAAGAGAGAAGTGGATCTCAAAGTGCCTGAAATATTTATTCTGCCCAATATGTTTCAGAAATGCAGTGCTTTCCTCAAGGGCTTTTGTTTGTTTTTCCAGAAATATGCAGAGAGGATGCCTTCTGCTCCAGCAACAGCTGTGCTCTCCGGTGATGATGGAACTTCTCTAGTTCAAGGAGGCTTCCTCCCAAGTCAGTGACTGGCCCAATACGCAACAAGGTTTATAAGCCATAGTGGGTTAGCATGTCATGCCAGCCTGCAGTGGGTTTGTCACTGCAGTGTCCCTGCCACAACCACTTCCCAGTTTGCTACAGCTTTTTAAATTGTTCAAATGCTTTTTCTTCTCCTTCAAGCTGCAAAAATTGGATGTCAAATATTTTCACAGTCCCCCGTTTGGTAGCCACAAGCTCTCCCTACATGGCGCCTCAGTGGTACTTAGAGGGGCCACCCACAGTTGCTATTTTTTAAAAAAGCTGTCCCCCTAAATTTATAGTTTTGAAAAATATATTGCTGCACTTGCACAACTGCAGATGAGAGTAGTTACATGGGGGTGGCCATGGGGAACATGGTGTTGGTAATTTTATTTATCTATTTATTTATTTTTCCATTTATATCCTGCCTTTTTCCTACAAAGGGCTCAAGGCAGCTTACATCTCCTCCTCCATCTTAATGGGCAGGGTGGGACTGCTGGCAAATTCCAGTGCACACCCAGGGGTACAGGCAAGTAAATTCCTGCTTGTGCCCCAAATTTTGCAGGAGCCTTTGCAGTACTAGCATCACAGAAACATGCAAAACACCCGAGGTCCTCAGTTACGGGTGGCAGGGGGGATTCCTCTTTGACAGGTCTCCCTCTCTTCTGTGCCACATTTCATGGCTTGCTGCACAGTATGGAACGTTTTGTCATGTGAGCCTGGCCAGTGTGTCCAGGATTGCAGCCTCGTTTCTCTTCTTATTCACTGCCAATTCATTTTATTAATAGAAATTTAAAGGCATGATTAAAGCAAACAAGGGAAGGCTTGTGTGACAAAAGGTAGGAATGTGGACATGTTTGAACTTCCGCTCAAATTCTCCCAGAGGGGCTTTTTTCCTCTCCCCTGTTGAAATGAGTGATTCCAGTTTTGCTGCTCTGTACCTGGGCTTGGTGTCAGGGTGTGAAGAACACATTTTATTCAGTGGGAGAAAAACTCACTGCTAATCTGTAAGCTGGCATGAACACACCAACTGTTTCCTTTCTCTATTGTTGTCTGAACAAGTTCTTGTCATACAAACAGCTGCTTAACCTCCTGTGATGTTTATGATTCTGGGTAATCTGATGTCATATTCCTCTGTATATGCAGATGACAAATTTAGGGACTGAATCCTTTATTTAAGAAAATCTATAGGAGGATTTAGGGAACTTTGATTCCAAATTATCTGCGCACCCCTATCAGTCACAGCAGAAGCCGAAATCAGATTCATAGTCAGCTGTGACCTATTTTATTAATCAACCTCTTCTGCATTTTTGGTGGTAGAATGCTATTTTAATTAACAGTGCCTCCTCTCCCGATATTGATATTGGATGGTCAACATGCAATGCAATGGAACCTTTGGTTGGGTTGTGTTATAACGTTTTTATCATAACATTTGTTGACTGACAGGCAACGTAGTATTTGACCAAATTGGATGGAAACATGCAATGGTGATTAATATTGGATAGCTAAAAAAATGAGATTTCAAATATGAGTCCGGAAAAAATTAGAATATTCAAGAGATGCCAGCAATTTCAAAACATTCCAATTTTTCAGTTAAAATGTCTAGTCATGGACTCTCTGGCCAACCTACCTCACAGGGTTGTTGTGAGGATGATATGGATATAAGCCACCTTGGGTACCATGTAAGAGAAAATAAGTCAGGGCATAAATGTAATGCAACCATAATAAACACAATATGACACGAAGATTTGTGTTTCAGCTTTTATATTTGCAATGTAAGTTGTTCAGTGGGAAAACTGGATCTACGCTGAGTATTTGTAAATATCCATTACAGTGTTAGAGTAGTCACAAAATATTCATGCTGAATATTTGAATGCTCGGCTTAATAGCAGCTTACCCCCAGGTCTTTGGGGGGGAAAGGATATTTGATTACACTATATTTATTTATGACATTGTAGATACACAAAGTATCTAATATTCGACAGTATTTTAGATCTGACATGCCACTGCTTTTCCATGCATGTGTAAAGATAAATCCACATATTGATTTTGAACTTGATCCTAAACAAACTCACTTGTATTTAGGATCATGGTCCACACTTCATGGATTTTCAAATATCTGAAAAAATAACAGTTTTTCTGTTGGTATCACCTTAATTATCCACGATCTGCAAATAATTACCTATATTTAAATTGGACTAAACCAGTTAAAAACAAAGAAAGCACTTTCTGGACCACACACTGCTTACCACTTTGCATTTGGCTTTGCAGCCGGTCTATTGCTGAAGGGTACTGTATGTTGTATATTTCTTTTATTCTCATGCATTTAATTATGTTTTCAATTTATTTGGGGCAGAGTACACTGGGGGTATATTAGCAATAGAACAGCTTATATGCCCAAACTTGCATGAATAAAAACATTTTTAACTTCCAGAAAGGGGGCCAGCTAGCCGCCAGCAGCAGAGACTTCCAGAGTATGGGAGTGATCAGAGGGAAGGCCCCACTAAATGTGCCTCTTTGTCATGGCAGTGGGGCTGAGAGAAGGGCCACCCTGAAAGATCCTAAGCACTTAATCTTAAAGCATGTTTTGGAACCCTCCACATTGGCTACTTCCCTGCACTCACTTCTCAGGATCTTGCAGATCCATTGTTTTGTTTTGCTTTGCTTTTTTCACGAATTCTTCCTACTGTCACTACCACAGTTTGGCGTATATGCCCATTCATGTCTATGGAAATCAAAAGAGTGATGGGTGAATGGTGGTAACTGCAGTGGGCAGCAAAGGGATGGTGGCCTTTGCCAGTCTTGGTTTCTCTCCATTTCTCATTTTCCAAGCTTTTATTCATTCTGAACTTTGGGAAAGTTTGCAGTTTAAAATTTGGTTCATTCCAAAATTTGAGAATAGTTTTAAATGTTTGCAAGAAAATTCATATGCATTTCTCATAATATGTGCTTTTTTATACATTATGACCTGGTTCAAGCAGTCATCCTCAGCAAACAACTCACAGGGGCTTGTTCAAGTCATGGCTCATACTGGGTACATTCACATATTTATTTATTTATTTATTTATTTATTTATTTATTTATTTATTTATTAAAACATTTTTATGCCGCCCCATTCGCCAAAGCCTCAGGGCGGCTCACAACAATTACCAGCCTGACTGTAGCTTGTGTCATCTGAACTCAGGTTGTGTAGTGAAACCTCCCTGAAATGATCCAACAACAGCCCATGGATGCTCCCTGTTAGGTTCAGATGACACAATTAACCCACGGTTAATGCAAATTACACATGGTATACATCAACTGCCATGCCTTAAGGAAGCTACATTGGCTTGTTTTACTAAGGAAAAACTGGCAAAATGTTGTCTAATATGTATGTGTAAAAGTGATTTTTCTATCATGTATTTTCCCTAATATCCACATTTGTTTATGCATTTCTAATTAGAGAACTCCATTGCAAATTTCAAGGCATAACTGAGCTTTCTTTTCTGCACTGGTTCAAACATGCACAATCAGGTTTTTGTTGTTGTTAGTTGCAAAGTTGCACCTGACCCATCACGACCCCATGGACCACATTCCTCCAGGCACTCTTGTCCTCCACTACCCCTTGGAGTCCACCCAAGCTCACACCCACTGCCCCAATGACTCCATCCAGTCACCTCATCCTCTGTCGTCCCCTTCTCCTTTTGCCGTCAATCATTCCCAGCATCAAGGTCTTCTCCAGTGAGTCCTTCCTTCTCATTAGGTGGCCAAAGTATTTGAGTTTCCTCTTCAGTATCTGGCCTTCTAAAGAGCAGTCAGGGTTGATTTCCTTTAAGATTGACGGGTTTGATCTCCTTACAGTCCAAGGGACCCGCAGGAGTCTTCAGCACTACAATTCAAAGGTCTCAATCCTTTGGCGCTCAGCCTTCCTTATGGTCCAGCTTTCACAGCCATACATTGCAACTGGGAAAACCATAGCTCTGACTATACAAACTTTTGTTGGCAGGGTGATGTCTCTGCTTTTTAGTATGCTATCTAGATTTGCCATAGCATTCCTCCCAAGGAGCAAGCGTCTTTTAATTTCCTGGCTGCAGTCACCATCTGCGGTGATCTTGGAGCCCAAGAAAATAAAATCTGTCACTACCTCCATTTCTTCCCCATCTATTTGCCGGGAAGTGATAGGGCCGGATGCCTTGATCTTAGTTTTCTTAATGTTAGGTTGCATGAAAATGGGTGTTGAACAAATTTCTCTCCCATTCCTACACTTGGCAGAGTGGGATTTGCATCTGTGTGTGATCAGCCAACAAACCTGCGGACAGTGGCAGGAAGTGACACAATCTGCTAAACCTCCAACACTTGGCATCCTGAATTCACATTCAAACATCTGTCATTATTCTCAACCCTAGAAATGGGAGTTTTTTCAGACAACACACTGAGTTCCTGGAAGAGCTGCAGACTTTTTGTATTACCTGAAAGTGCAGCTCTTCTCTGTTCTCTTCGACCCCACCCCTTCTGGGCACATGTGCTCTTTGGTGACCATAATAAATTGTGTATCACATGTATGCTGTTTCTGACAGTTGTCAGCCACGATAAGATCCCAAGCAGCTTCAATAGCGACATTAATAATCCAGTAATTACTGGAACTTTTCAATACATTGCCTTTTGGATTTGTGAGACTGTAACACTAGCTGTGACTCCGCAAAGTTATCTGATCTCTAATCTGTTGAAACGGAGCACCAGCTGGACATGCGAGATAGCGACTCTGTTCTTTTGCTTCTGGATATTGGCAAACCCTTGAAGAGGCCGGGGAAGATAAAAGGGGAGAAGACAACTGAGCCCCCAGCGGAGCAGCAGACGTGGCGGGGAGGCTCTGAACTGTCTCGTCTCATTATGGCACTTGTGCAGCCTTCCTGCCGAGCACGAAGTTCCTCAAAAATCATTTGAGAAACGGGATGATACGTCATGATTAAATCATGTCAGCCCCCTTCAAAAAAGAATTACCTCAGCCCCATTTTCAACATGGGAATGATTGTCCCTTACTCGTGGGAAGCGGCAAATTAAGTTATTTTGGAGGGGGCATAACAAGATTAACTGGGAAATGCTGAAAATAATTCTCAGAGTGAGTTTCTCATTCAGCTGCAGCCGCAGCAAAGAATCACGAAAAAACATTCATAGGGCTCAATGGCATGTTTTACTACAAGCCCACATCTTAAATATCTTTCTTACAGACTCTTTGTTCAATTTCTATGTAAATTTCACTGGCTTAATGTGGTTCCTGGAAAGGAAATTTACAGATAACTTCCAAATTAATGATGTTAATTTATTCAGAATGGCCTTGAAGCACTGATGTCAGACACATTCATAATATCCAAGGAACTCACCCTGATTGGCTAGCTTGGAAACCTCACAGGTGGGGGAACCCATCCATGCTCATCCCCTGTGCCCTCCCTTTTCTCTATGGTCACATTCAAGGAACGGGAGTCCTTTGGAGAATGCTGGAAGCTGCCATTCATTCTAGCACTGAGTGGAGTGCAGATGAAGGCGGGATATTGCCTTATCTTTTACTGCTCCCTCTAGCCCAGTGTTGTCTGCCCCGACTGGCAGAGTGGTGGCAGGGCTGAGGAAGAAATGCCAGAAGGGGAGAGATTGGGAAGGGGTGGCCCTGTTCCTTTTGGGCTCTGGTAGTACCAACCACTAGCATGAAGTTCATGATGGATTATCTTTGAGGGAAAGCAGCTCTCATACAACAACAACAAATTCTTTATCTCTCATTGAGTGACTTAGTACTTTGTCTGAACTCCTTCACCCGCTAAAGGGTAGCTTCTTTGTGGCTATGAAGCCACCTCAACAAGGGCTTCGGGTAGGAGCCACATTCAGCTGGGTGACTTCCCAGGGAGACCCTGCTGAATGTAGTTTGTCCTCCAGTGGTGTGCAAGGCCAGAGACATTGTGCTAGGCCTCCTTTAGAGACCCAGCAACCTCATGGGTACGCTGAGATTTGATCTGGAGAGCTCTGGATCATGCTTTTAACCAACACATACTAAACCAACTGAAGTGAAATGTTACTTAGCTGTGAAAATCTCATTTTGGCCTATATAGCTATTCGAATAGAGCCCCAGGTATCTAGTTGAATGAGACATTGCTAGAAAAATAATTTTGTAGACAGATCATCCCTTTATATTCATTATCAAATTCAATGCCAGCTTTGAATGATATTTTAGGGCATTTACCAAGATGAGAGCAAGAGGGAGAGAAGGGGAGAAAGAACCAGAATGGGCATTAAAATTAAAGGAAATACAATACAGTTTTGGGCTGAGATATCTGCAGTTTTGGAAATCTCTGTTATTCCTTATGTGACTGAGCTGACTTCAGTTGCCCATACTGCATCTGAACATGCCAGCTACTCAGAATCTTTCCCCCATTTGTCACTCACTCACTCACTCACTCAAGAACATGCAGGTATACATGCTGTTGGTGGGGAAGAAAGTTGTGAAGAAGAGACACAGCCACATAGCAGCACTGACCAGCTATTATGAGTGTAAGTGTGAATATTCCAGATGTCCCAGAAGCCAAAATGACAAAGCAGAGGCTGCCATATTTTGGAGACATCATGAGAAGGCAAAACTCCCCAGAGAAGACAATCATGCTGGGAACGTCAAAGGCAGAAGAAGAAAAGGAAGGCCAAACAAGAGATGGATTGACTCCACAGAGGAAGCCACAGCCTGGAATTTAGAACAGCTGAGCAGGGCCATCACGGATAAGAC